GAGAGGCGGCGAGAGCCCGGGCGCGCAGTGGTCCGCCGCGCCTCCCCTCTCCCCGGGGCCCGCCGCGCCTCCTGCCGCCCCGCCGGGCGCGCCGCTCAGCGGCCCGGCCACCGCCGCCGTCTCGCTGCACATCCCGGCGCCGCCGGCGGGGCAGGCCCGGCCGGCCCCCGGGCAGGCCAGGACCTCCACTGCCTGCATCTACCTGTCCACCCCCTCGAGGCCTGCGGTAGGGGCAGGGGCCGCCGGCCCTGCGCCCCCCAGGGAGGCCCCCGCCCCCACCTCCCCTGCGCACACCAGCCCGGCACCTCAGCCGCCGCCGTGGCCGGCGCAGCTGCCCCCCACCACGGCCCCCACAGCGCCTTGGCCTGCCGCCGAGCCCTGCGCCTCCAGGGAGCAGCGGGTGGCGCTCCCTGCGCCCAGGACGGGCATCTTGCTGGAGGCTCGCCGGCGCAGCAGCCACAAGCCCATGTTCAAGTCTGCGGAGGAGAAGAAGAAGCACTCGCCGAACCCGGAGCTGCTCTCCCTGGTGCAGAACCTAGACGAGAAGCCCAAGGGGGAGCCCCACGGGGCCGGCTTCGAATCTGGGCCCGAGGAGGACCTCCTGAGCCTGGGGGCCGAGGCCTGCAACTTCATGCAGGGCTCAGCCCGGAGGTTCAGGACGCCGCCCCCGGTCGCCCCGAAGCCCCAGCAGCCCAAGGGCTCTGGCGGGCTGGCGAACGGCCCCTCGGCGGGCCAGGACCTCCCGCTTCTGAAGGGGAAGGGTGCTGAGCTCTTTGCCAAGCGGCAGAGCCGCATGGACCGGTTCGTGGTGGAGGCGCCGCAGGCAGCGGCCCCGAAGCCCCGGACCCCATCCCCGGCACCGTCCCTGCCCTCTTCCTGGAAGTACTCCCCCAACATCCGTGCCCCGCCCCCCATCGCATACAACCCGCTGCACTCCCCCTTCTACCCCCTGGCGGCCAGCAAGTCGCAGGCCAGCAAGGCTGAGAGCAAAGTGAAGAAGCCACCCGGCCAGAAGCCCGGGATCCAGGCCATCGATTTCATGAGGCACCAGCCCTACCAGCTCAACTCTGCCATGTTCTGCTTCGGGGCGGCCCCGAGCTCCGGTGCCGGGGCCTCCACGGGCCAGGCAGCCCAGCAAGCCAGCCTGTCTCTCGCCCCGGCCAAGCAGGCCCCCGTGAAAACAGCCAGGACCTATGAGATCCGCCGCTTCTCCACACCTGCCCCGATGCCGGCCTCCAGCGGCCTGGCCCCTACTGTGCTGGCCCCCCGCTCCGCCACCACGCTGGATGAGCCGGTGTGGCGCACGGAGGCGGCCTCCCCCTCTGCCCCAACCTCCCCCGGCCCCTTCCAGGTGGCCCTCCCCCAGTACCAGAGCTCTCCGGAGCTCAGTGAGGTGGGCCGAGAGGCCTCCCCGGGCCGGCCGGCCCCCGCCTCCAGTTTTCAGGTCGCCCGGCCCAGGTTCTCAGCTGCCCAAACCGGGATGCAGGCTCACATCTGGCGGCCAGGTTCACGGCGCCAGTGAGGAGGAGGCCCCGCCTGTCCCAGGCCTCTTCACATGCCACGGGGTTTCAGTGTGCACCTCAGTGCTTTCTTTGTTAGTGTACATGTAAAATTGCAAACTACGTGTGCAGATTTGCAAACACAAGTGCACCCATCAGAGAGCGAGGCTTGTCTGCAGCTCCCTGCTGAGTGTCCACTGGAGGGTGAGTCCAGACTCCTGCCTAGGTAATGTGTGAAGTGACCCTTGGGTAGCAGCCACCTGCTTGCGCACAAGGTCCCTTCCTTCCCCCTCCGCACTGGGGCTGAGTCCCAGGGAACCTGAGCGCCAAAGCCAAGTGGAAGGCAAGCAGCCTTCCCCGGGAATCCTGGATCCCGGGGGGGCGGGGGGGGCGGGGGGAGAGCCACATGGACAAGGGACTGAGCAGCCCAAGTTCCAAGCCAGCACGCTCTGGCGGAGGCCCCACAGGAGACGTGGCACAGCGCTTCTGTCTTTTTCTCGTTGCAAGACTTCCTGCAGTAAGAAAAAGAGACCCGGGAAAGCTGCAGGAAAGCCGGGGGGAGAGGGCTGCACTGTGCTGTGTGCCTTTCATAAAATTCTGGGACTGAGAGGCAGGACACGTTCGGGAGAACAAGAGTCTTGTGTGAAGACGCCACAAAACAGTGGCGAAGATGGGTGTGTCATGTGCAGAGCAGAATGAGGCCAAAGCCCCGTAATCGACCCCAGCGCAGTGCTTTCTTTGCACCTCTTGAAACAGATCCAGCAAACAAGCCAAGCAAGCCTTCTCGCTGAAGGACTCGAGAAATAATGCCCTGCTTTGGCTTCCTGCAGAGCTGGCAACCCATGAAAGGCAACAGAGCGGGCATGGGTGGACCCTCGCAGCCCTGCCTGGCATCCCCCCTCCCCGCCCCAATCCGGGCACCCTCAGCCTTGTGTTTTCCAGATGCTTTGGGCTACAGCCTCGGGGTAGGAACTGAAGTCAAAAAGGTTGGGGGAGCTGCACCAGCTCATCCTCTGCACCATTCAGACAGCTTGGGCGTTCACCACGGCTTTTTCAGCGAACGGGGGACGTGCTCCCGCTGCTGCTGCCGCCGCCTCCCAGGACACGCTTCCTGCTTCCCCCCAGCCATTTGCAAGGCCCAGCCGGGCTGTGCTGCCCCACAGCGGGGGGTGGCGCTCCAGCAGGCGCTCCAACGTGGCCACCTTGGCCTGGGCTGGAAGTGGGCGCATGCGGAGCGTCACATTCTAAATTTGCACTGAAGACCCGGCAGGCGTTCCCTCACCGCCTTGGCACAACCGGACGGTGCCCCCACGTGGGGCACACACGGGGCACCCCCACCTGCACTTGCCTCACATCTCGCCCTGGCCGGAAGACCGTGGCCCAGGACCCCTGGTCGAGCTCGGCTTCTTCAACGGAGAAGTCTAGCAGGAGCTTCGGCAGCCGCTGGCTTAGGCGTGGCAAGTCAGCCTGCAATTGGGCGCGAGGGAAGCCGCCAAGGACTGTGCTTGGGCAGGGTGTCCCTCCCCCCGCAGAGAAGCACGTGCAGCGACACAGGACGGCTGCAGAAGAGAATCGGGCACAGCAGCCGCCCCAGAGGAGCGGACCATGCCACCTTTTCCGCTTGGCATGGCCAGGAGACGCCACGCTCCCGCCGCTTCCTGGCAGCTGGCTGGCAGCAGCTCCTCACTCCCCATTTTAATGCAGGGTGGCTTCCTCACTGCCTCTCCCCACTCAGCCCATCCTTTCCATGGGACAGAAACAGAAGAACATTTGCAGAAGCATCAAAGAAGGAGAGACTAGATACTTGGAGAACCTTCACATGAAAGGAGGACCAAGTTTGGACTAGCAAATTTTGGAATGCAAGGGGTGACAATACTCTTTGGTCAGAATAGGACAGTGCAAGTCGGTAAGATGTATGAGTAAGTGCGCGAATGACTGGAAACAGGGGGATGGGTCTTGTAGTCATGTCCCGGAGGCACCGTTTGCCTCCAACGAGTCCTCCTAGCCGCCAGCAAGGGGAAACGCAGGGCTCCCTTTGCAGGCTCCCCCAGTTCAGCAGGGGCGGGGCGGCTGTGAAGGAAGGTCCCTGGGTGCTTTGCATCCCTTGAAGGCTGCAGGGGTGGTACCTGAAGGCAGAGCAGGCAGATGGAACAGGTTTCTGGAAGAAGAGGAAGAAGACAGAGGACAAACTGCAGAGACTGAAAACAGGCATACTGGTTAAGCCCACTGCATGTGTGAGAAGCTTTGCTCAGGGCACGGCACCCCACACATACCAGGAATCTGATCAGCAAAAGAAAATAGCCTAGAAACGGGGACGGGGCCTCCCAGGCCATCTAGTGCGTCTCCAGTCAGCTCCGCTCATGACTTGACGAATATGTTTTTCAGCACCTGGAGTTTTCTCAATTGGCCTTTTCTTATTTGTGACACCCTCCCCCGCTTGTTTTTTGTTTTGGTTTTGCTGGAGGGAAGACACACTTTGACTGTGCTCAGGGTTTCCTCAGAAGCAGGTGGTGGCCATGCAAAAAACCCAGAATGAAGCTGTGGAATGGCTTTGTGTCCCCCCAGCGTAAATAATAGTCATAGAATAGTGGAGTTGGAAGGGGCCAGAGGGCCATCGGGTCCAACCCTGCTCAGTGCAGGGCACCTAGCTACACCATCCCAGGTGGCTGCCCAGCTGCATCTTGAATGCCCCCAGTGAGGACGACCCCACAACCTCCTTGCGTAATGGGTTCCGTTGTCATCCTGCTCTCACAGTCAGGAAATGATACCTAGCTGAGACCTGGCTTCCTGAAACGCGAGCCCGTTATTCCATGTCCTACACTCTGGGATGATCAAGAAGAAGTCTTGTGCGATCATATCACCTGTCAGCCTTCTTGTCTTGAGGCTGAACATGCCCAGTTCTCTCAATCTTTCCACAAAGGGCTTTGTTTCCAGTCCTTGTTGTCCTCCTCTGGACCCTTTCTAGCTTTTTTGCATCTTTTAGAAACTTAGCTGCCCAAAACAGGATGCAGTGTGCCAGATGAAGTCTCACCAGGGGAACTGGTACTCCACAGGATTTGGGAGTGATGCTTCTATTAGTGCAGCCTAAAATAGCATTTGCTCTTTTGAGCCGCATCACATTGGAGACTCATAATCAGCTTGTGATCTACAACAATTCCAAGGTCCTTCTCACTTGCAATATTGTTGAAATTCCACATCTTGTAATGATGCATTGGTTTCTTTTCCCTAAGTGCAGAGCCTGGCATTTGTTCCTGTTGAATTTCATTCCGTTCTTTTTAGCCTTGTGCTCCAACCTATCAAGATCACCTTGAACAAGCATCTTTGAGTCCAATTCTGAAGCCAGCTGTAGATCCACCTAATTGTCGTTCCATCTAGCCCACTTTAAACTAGTTTGCTAATCAGGATATCATGGGACACTTTGTCAAAAGCATTGCTGAAGTCAAGATAGGTTATGTCCACAACATTCCAACGTTCCATTAGGGAGGTTACCAAATCAAAAAATGAAATCAGATTAGTCTGGCAGGATCTGTTCTTGAGAAATCCATGTTCTAGTAATCTCTGCAAGGTGCTTGCAGACTGACGGATTTATAATCTGCTCCAGGCGTGTCCCAGGGATAAATGTCAGACTGACTGGTCTGTCATTTGCAGGTTCACCTTTTCTCCTTTCTTGGAGGTGGGGGCAACATCTGCCCTTCTCCAGGCCCCTGGCACTTCCCCTGCCCTCCGTGATTTCCCACAGATAATAGACCGTGGTTCCGAGCGCTCTTCTGACAGCTGCTTTGTGCCACCAGGATGGAGTTCATTGAGCCCTGGAGATCTGAACTCCTCAGCGCGTTGACTGCTCATCTTGAGCTGCCGCCCCGCTCCTGCAGCTCGAACTTCCTTCGAGGTCATGGGAAGGTCATGGATCCCCTTTTGGGAGGAGGCTGAGCCAAAGTAGGAATGGAGCACTTCTGCCTTTTCTCTGTCGTCATTTGTCATCCACACTGTATAGCCGAACCCCCATTTTTTCCTCTGCCTTTTACTTTGAAAATATCTAAAGAAGGTTTCTGTTGTTTAGCATCCCTCACCAGCCTCAGTCCATTCCTAGCTTGGCCTTCCTGACGCCGCCCCTGCCGCCTGCCGCCTGCCGCCTGCCGCCTGCCTGCATCCTTCCTTGGTTGCCTGCTCTTCCTTCCACGTCCTGCACACGCACATTCTGTGTTCAGATCAGCTCTAAGCTTTTTGCGAAGCCACGTGGGCTGCTTCTGTTGCCTCCCACCCCCTTTTCTTGTTGGTATTGTTTGTACTTATGCATTCACAAGGATAGCCTTCCATTGTTGAATTCCAGGCATGGGAGTCACCCCACCAGGTTTCATTTATGCCTATCAGGTCGTATTTGCCCTCCTGTATTAAGAGGTTACGTTCATGCTATTTGTTTCCCATACTGCAGGCATTATGTAGACATCAAAGACCACACTCTTTGTAAGCTAGCTGTCTCCGTGCATTTTTTGGAAGACCATGTTTGTGCAGTTAAAGCTGCTCCCCCTGTTGTGGTGCATAAGCAAGCCTTTGTCTGTTGCTGCTCCCAGGTGTACGTCTTCCTCCACCTTTTCTCCAGTCCTTGCCAGGTGCAGCCCGCCCCTCGTGAGCAGTCCATCTTCCGGGAAGTGTGGCCCGCGTCCCCCTCATGTCAGCACCTCCATGTAGTTAGGCTTCCCCTCGGAGTATTTTCCTTTCCCTGTCCATTCCTCTTCCTCAGGCTGGAAGGATTGAAGATAAAACTATCTGGCCTCAAAGTTCTTGACTTTCATCCCTAAAGCTTTGAAGTCTGTCATGACTTCAAAGCTCCCCTCAGAAGTACTTTGAATCTGGCCCCTTTACTGGGAACGTGTAGGCACAAGAAAATAAAACTCTGTACAATATCAAATAAATCCATCCCAGGTCGCACAAGCATTTATTGATCAATCAGCTGTGCTGCATGTGGGGGGAAACGATGGCGGCAGCACGCTGCGTGGTGATCCCCACGCGAGCCGCCGCACTG